TACCATGCTCCCCTGAAGGAGATCGTTTTTGTCCAGTAGGGACACAGGCTTCGCCGACGAGTCGCCGCCGTGGGGATTTCGATTTGGGAATGGAGATGCCGGCAAGATCTGGAAGAGAAAACGAAGAAGAGGTTTGGTGAGATCTAGAAGAGGAAACAGGGAAGAGGTTTGGCGTTTTCTTATATATAATTTAGATAGAGGGTCAAATAGTTTTTGGCTTTTCTGAACCAAAGGGCAAAACGATCTATTCACGTGCCACTTAACGCGTTGGATCGAAATGCCATAGAAAAAAATAAAAATGATAGAGGGTCAAATAGGGAAAAATATTTTTTATGGTCAAATAAGGAAGCCCATTTTCAAATATGGCAAAATAAGGAATTCTCTCATAGATATTCGAGGTGTACCGTCCCTACCCTACACAATCGTTGTTGTTGGAAGGAAAGGCTACGTCTGAACGCCCGTCCCTGTACCTACAAGTACATACTGGATTTTCCTACTATATATCTACCTATTCAATGTTCTACTTCATGCGACAACTCTCCACCCCAACAAACACCACTTCAATCTGCTTATACCATGGGTTTATCTGCTTGGTTTGGTTTCAGACAATCTATATAAATGATGCAAAGTTTGATTGCAACAAAGATGATTTTTCATCCCACCGAGAGTTTCCCTTTTGAAGCAGCAGCCTAATTAATTGGAGGAGCTGCAGCCATATGAACTGACTGACGGAAAGAACCTGATGGGGTGCATGCCCAACTGAAGAAGAAACATGGCACCTATTAAATCGTTATGTGCTCCAACGGTACATGTCCATGTTAGTTTTTCTTCAGCGTCCTGTATTATATTACTTTTTTTTGAATTGGAATCATATTTATTCCATTAACCAAAGAGCACAGCAGCATCGCTGGCTACCAAGTTTTGCACAAAATCAGGGGCACCATTTGGCCATAAAGCTGGGAATGATAGCCCTGTCCCTGCACCATACTTCGCTAGAGCGTCTGCAACTTTATTACATGCTCTTGGGCAGAAAGTAATACGGAAAAAATTAAAATTTAGCCGAGTAAAATATTTAATCTCCTTGAAGATAACACCATTTATCGCCATATCTTGGTCGTCCGACCGAATCGCTTGCACAAGCTGGGATGCATCTGTTTCAAGGTGGACTTCTGATATACCCCATGCCTGGGCAGCCTGCAAGCTCTCGAGACACACCATTGCTTCTGCATGTAGAGGGTCTTGGACATGCAGCATGTATCCAGCGCCCGCCCCAAGCGCATGTCCTTGACTGTCACGGACAATGAAACCCCATCCTCCTGTTGCTAGGGTGTCATTCATACTTCCATCAATGTTAATCTTTAGCGCATTCTGTCCTGGAAGTTCCCAACTACTCTCTGGAATCGTTATAGAATTTTTCCTCGCACCAACAAGCTTTGCATCTTCCACTGCACTCCTAATCCTCCTCACAACAGATGCGGTGGTTCTCAGCGGCTCACCTGCATTTTTTTTATTTCTTGTATCCCACCACACCCAGAGCATCGTGATACATACGAGTCTTTTGTCCTCTGGCAGTGCTAGTATTCTGGTGACTAGCTCCTTCGCACCCTCCTCATCAAGAAACTGAATTCTAGTTTGCTCCAACTGCAACTCCCTCCATAGTGGTTTGACATGTTTACATCTCAAGAAAATGCGCGTCCCATCCTCATCCTTACGCCCACAAACTGGGCAAAGTGTATCCACTTCCATGCCCCGCCGAGAAATACTCAGACGGTGCGGAAGGCTATTATGAGCAAATCTCCACAAAAACTGCTTAACTCTCTCAGGGCATTGGATCTTCTAGATTGAGCTCCATCTAAATTTGTCTATGCACGTACTTGATTCGCCCGTCAGCCGTCGAGCCTGCCGTTGCTGATTATCCCTAATCATGTGATATGCTGTTTTGACAGAAAACTGTCCATTAGGCGCAAAATGCCATGCCCACGAGTCCACGAAATCCTCAAACAAGGGCAGCGCCAATAGGCTGCACTTGTTCCTGAGTGAGGTTTCCTAAAACCTGGACTACTAACATAATGCTTCCAACCTATTCATTCTGAAATATAGCTAAACCAATGAGAATTCAGGCATGGCGACAGGCACATGTAGTTCAACATCTGGATCATCCAGATATCATTTACGATCTGAAAAGGAGTTATTTGGGATGCGTCGATTTGGTGCCCGAGCACAGCTGCGCCCGATATCCTGGTCGTACCTTCCTCTCTTGGGATGCGAATAAATCACTCTGGCACGCCTGACGCGAGTCCGCGGAAAAGGAGTGAATTGCAAAAAACATCGACATTGAAGGCTAGAGTTGTAGAAATGACAAGTCTGTAGTTTTGTGCCTAAAAACACTAATTTCCAGGCTAATTTTTTGCAGAAACCACAAGTCACTCTGTTCGGTCGTTTTAAGTGGGATTATGACAGGTGGGTCCCGCTGTTGTCGACGTGGCGTCACTGTTGATCCGTTTGGCTCGTTAGACACCGTCAGAAGCCGTTCGCGGGCCGTCTCGAGCCGGAACCCATTTCACCGGTCCACCCCCGCGACTCGTTACAGGCCCACCCACCCCAACCCTCATTCGCCCCCGCTCTCAGCTCGAACTCATTCGCCGCCGTCGACCCGTCCACATCTCCGACCGCCGCCGCCGCCGCCGCCACCGCGTCGTCATGGTTTCCTGGAGTGAGGATGATGACAGCAGTGAGAACTATTACCAGTACGCCACCTCTGGTTCAGACGACGGCATCGTGAAGGTGAGTTGGTAGAAATAGGGTTAGGGTTAGGATTTGGGGATTTTCCTCTTGAGCTAAATCTGAACTTTCCTTCCCAAATATCTTGCTCTCCTTTGCACGTGCAGATGCCTGCTACGACGGATGACTCTGAATTTGAGGGCAATGATTTTGTTTTGTGCCATGAACACGGGGTGCGAGCAGAAAGACTTGTTGCTTTCGAGGACATCCATACTGGCAGGAGGTTCCTTGGCTGTGTTGTGAAGGCATCTGTCAAATTTATGCTGATTAGGTGTTGTGGTCTAATCATTTGGTCATTGTTTAGTACTTAATTTGGTAGTTAGCAGATCTGACTTGTTAGTTAGGCTGTTTAAATATTTGCCCAATGCTTATTGGGTCAGTTAACTCATTGTATGTCAGGACCCCGACTCGATGTCACATCGATCTAGCCGGTAACACCTCATATCACTTTGCGGCCTCACGCACGGTATCCCCACGGGTGTCGCCTTACTTTTGCCCGGGACCGTTTGCGCCTTTTGGCTCACGTATATGATAGTGTCGCTAGCATCCATATGATAAGGAGCCCGGGCTGACATGACTAGTCGTAAACCCAAAGTGGCACAGACTTACAGGGACAGGCATTCATGACCCAGCTTCGAACGTGTCGGTCATCAGCAAGTGGGTCCGGGCTGTAGCACTGGGCTAGCAGGACTCCGGTAAACCGGGCTGTAGCGGGCTAACAGGACTCCGGTACTCAAAGCGTGACATTTCCCCGAAGGGACAGACACAGGAACGAAGAAGGACACATGCCGGCCAGCCTAAGTGTTCCGGAGCAGTAGCAAGCTACCATGGCTCGGTGGAAACACTAGGAGACATTTCCCAGTAAGAGAGGCTACTAAAGATAAACAACTAGATAGTCAGATCCCACACATACCAAGCATTTCAATAACATACACACAATATGCTCGATATGTGCAATACAACATGGCATCACAAAATGACTCTACGACTCAAGTAATTTATTCAATAGGCTCCAAGGAGCGAGATATTACAAACATGGGTCTCATGACCCAACAATCAGAGCATACAAATCAAAGCACAAGCGGAAGCTATCATGTCTGAGTACAGACATCTATAAATGAAAAAGGCTGAGAAGCCTGACTATCTATCAGATCCTGCCGAGGGCACAAGATCGTAGCTGAGGTAACAAGCTAAACGTCGAAGTCCAAGCGGAACTACTAGTGAGACCGAAGTCTCTCTGCAAAAACATAAAATAGGCAAACGTGAGTACAAATGTACCCAGCAAGACTTACATCAGATCTATCTACATATGCATCATTATCAACAAGGGGGTGGAGGGGTTTGACTGCAGCAAGCCAGCTTTGACTCGGTGGCTATCCTGAACTACGACTGCAAGTAACTCTTTTGAGGTGGCGCACACGAGTCCACATATTCACCATATCAATACACCACTATGGATCCGCTCCCGTCTCCCTACGAGAACGCCATCCATAGCACTCACGCTTATCTTGCGTATTTTAGAGTATCCACTTTCACTTGTCTATGAACTATGCAAGGGGTCCACGTTTCCATATCCGAGGAATCCGGCTATTCGAATAGATGATGTTAACCCTGCAGGGGTGTACTTCTTCACACACGCTTTCGTCACTTATCGCCCTGTACACGTCATGTACCTCGGCAACCTTCAAGCGGAAGCCGGGCGAGGGAGTCGGCCACGACCTGACTAACCGAACAAGTCTCTAGTCCAGGTTTATCGCCTATTCGGGTTCCATCCGCAAGGAGATCCGGCCGGGGTGTCGCTCACGGCCCCAAACGATGTGAGCAGGGTTCCCAAGCCCACCATCCGGGTGCCACTTGGTACACCGTGCCACTGTGCCTAGTCTGTCCCAAGCCCACCTGTACCGGGTGCCACTTGGTAGACTACTAACACTACCTACAAACACCAGAAACTAGTTGCAACTCCTGGACAGAGATCATGTTGATTAATAAGTCGAGAGGGGCACTTAAGCATTCC